CACAGGGAGAACATGCAAACTCCACTCAGAAATGCCCTGGTCCGACCGGGATTCGAACCCAGGACCTTCTTGCTGAGAGGCGAGAGTGCTATCCACTCAGCCATCGTGCAACCCAAAACACACAATGTTGCAGCCAATCTGTGCCTGAACAACACAAACAAGTACTTTGAAATACTCTGTAAAAGTTTATCTAAAGAATAAGGCCAAAGACGTGTGGGATTTTATTTGAATTGTGTATTGGTTGCAGTTAGTCTGTCACGACATAAATCAGCACATACAACTCCGAAGACAATGTTTGCAAGTTTACAGTTTTTGCTGCTGTACGAGAAATGTGGTTAAGATTTGGCGCTTAGACCCTGGCAGAGCACTGTGCTGATGGGAGAAAGAGAGATGAAGATAGAGAGTATGAGAGGGTGATGGTGGGAGGGAGGAGAAGGGTAACAGAGCTGGTCCTAGACGAGGCGGTGATGGGGAGGAGGAGGGTTGCTGCACGTTGAAGCTTCCCGCACGATATGAAAACTTCAGGCCGATGCTTAGTTGCTCCCAGGTGAGGGCTGAGTGACTGAGTGCAGTGATCTTGGTTCTTCCTGTCCTTCAGTCTGAACCTCTTTGGCTTCATCTTTCACAGCGTTACACAGATGTCTTGTGGTCTGAAAGTCAGGAACCCTAGCTTTACAGGGCTGTAGCGCTTTAGTACTATTGTTGTTAACTTTTAGAATTATGTTTTTGTTTATATGGATGGATGTGGTCCTGCTGCTGGACACCTGAATAAAATATCTATTTATCTATCTATCTATCTATCTATCTGTCTGTCTGTCTGTATCTATCTATCATTTATCTTTCTCTCTATCTATCTATCTATCTATCTATCTATCTATCTATCTATCTATCTATCTATCTATCTATCTATCTATCTATCTATCTATCTATATGCCTACCTGTCTATCTGTCTGTCTATCTGTACCTGTCTGTCTGTCTGCATTGGGGGTTGTACTTCCTGCTGACACCAGTAGATGGCGGGGGCCTGTCTCAGCAGCGGACCTCATTTCCTTCTGGATCATTAGCAGAGTTCATGATCGGTCTTTGAGAAGCAGTGACGAGCTTTTGTGTCCGTCATGTCGTGATTGTGAAGGTGAGTGTAACGGATGGTCGGAGTGAAAGATTTCTGGAGACGGATGAGTTTAGGAAGAGATAAGATCTGAAACTGAACCGGAGCTAAACCCTGGACCTGGTCTAACCCCGACCCCAGGTCTGCACAGATCCGGACTGTAGCAAACCTATTCTCACTCAGTGCCCGTGTGTCAGAAATCTCCATCCCCCAGTTCTCAGTAATGTGTATTTTTCCATCAATGAAGCTTGCAGTCTTTTGTGGTAGTTGTGGATGAGGTTCTTTTTCCCTAGTCTCTCTCCAGTGGTCTCACTCTGGTCTCTCTCTAGTCTCTCTGGTCTTTCTCTGGTCTCTCAGTCTCTTTCTGGGCTATATTGTTTCTCTCTGGTCTCAGTATTTCTTTAGTCTCTCTCTGGTCTTTATTGTCTCTCTCTGGTCTCAGAATCTCTCTGGTCTCTCTCTGCTCTATCTTGTCTCTCTCTGGTGTCTTTCTTGTCCACCTGGTCTCACTCTGGTCTCTCAATCTCTCTCTGGTCTTTCTTGTCTCACTCTGATCTCTTTCTGGTCTATCTTGTCTCCTTCTGGTCTCTCTCCGGTCTATCTGGTCTCACTCTGGTCTCTCGCTGGTCTATCTTGCCTCTTTCTAGTCTCTCTCCGGTCTATTTTGTCTCACTCTCGTCTCTCAGTCTCTCTCTGCTCTGGTCTATCTTGTCTTCCTCTGGTCTCTCGGTCTATCTCTGGTCTATCTGGTCTCTTTGGTCTCTCTCATGGCAAGAGGACAAGACACCAGCCACCATCTCCCAAAGCCCCTCAAGCTAACCCTCTTAGACCAATTATTAAAATAATTGTCAATTAATTATTAATCAATGTATCTTATTTTAACGCCTCCATTGCCATAAACATACTGAGATGTTTGAAAAGCACATGTGTTTAGTATTTTTGATCAAACCACATTCTCCAGAGGAAACACCTGATCTTTGTTTTGGTCAAATGTAGAAGCCATCCCATTTTCTCTGAGCTTTTGGTATCGCCCTAAATCCCAACAGAAGTTATCTCTGAGGACTTAACAAAACCATTGAAATCACCAACACAGATCAGAGAACCAAAACAAAAAATATAGAACACATGTATTGGTCCATAGGGAGTTGACCAATGTCCATGAATGTTGTGGCTCACTTCACTTTTTGACTGCTTCCTGCCGATACAGGTTAAAATATAGTCTCTTTTACATGTTTGCACACTTCCTGTCTTTGTGCACGCCCTGAGTGATTCTATCTATACCCAATGTGGCACTTACATTTCTCCTTTGTGAGATCAATCAAGTTTATCTTATCCCACAGGAGGGTGTAAGGACGGTGATGATCGGAGACATTTACGGACATTGGTCGCTCTGTGTGGACCCATGGATCCTCGGGGTTTGTTATTACTGCAATTCCTGCGTTTGAATTATTGCTTTCTCTGATTTGTAAAATAGATTTTAAAGTGGCAACAGTTGTAGCTATTACTGATACTGGTAATACAGTAGATAGTTAGATAGACAGATAGACACTATACTGATCCCTGTAGGAGAGATTCAGGTCCAGTAGCAGAAAAAACACATCCATCAACACAAACAAAACAAATACATTGATCATTTCAAAACGCTAACAATAGTAATAGGACCATTTTCTCTGCTCTGGTCCAAAGATTTGAAATGTCTGAACAACTGTGTGTCAGCTCTGTTCTCTGGGCTCGTGCTGAAACACCAGTCTGCTCTCAGCGCCTCCACCAGAGCCTCAGTGCAGGACCGTGTGCTCCCAAAGCTCAGAACATCTTTTGGACAATCGGGCTTCTCCTTTAGGTCCCCCTGTGGACTAGTGTGGATAACTAGCACCTGTGCTATAAAGCCTAGCGTACATCGGACTGGCAACTGATTATATCCGTTGCATATGAGTTGCGACAATCTGACGAAAACGGGCAACTCCCAGTATCAGACCAGTCTCGGGAATAACAGCGCGTACATCGACAGCAACTGGCCTCAACTACAGTGTGTTTCTGGCATAAACCGTGGAGGGCGCACAATACACGCAATACACACACGCTGTCGGAGCGGCGCATGGAGCGCGCACATCGGGTCATATCTCTGAAACTGAGGACAACTAGTTGCCGAAAAGTAGAACACGGGCAACTGACTGAAACTGGAGACCGACTGTTTATCTCCAGTTGTAAGAGCGCTCACATCGACCGATTTCGGCAACTGATCATCTCCATCATCTACTCTCAGTTGCCAAAAGCCGCCTTGCAACTAGTTGTCTCCAGTTTCTCTGTCGATGTACGCTAGGCTTAACACTTACAGCAATGCATTTGGTTCGTCCAATCGTATTGTTATGTCCATATTAAATAAATAAATAAGTAAAATGCTGAATGGTTCATTAGCATTTTTCAAAAAGTTAGAATTCTTCTGGTGGATTTCTGTTTAATCCACTTGGTTCGGACCATGAATCCTCTCCACTCGGGTCTGGACCAGTGTAAAACCATGAACACTGTACTGCAGCAACATCTCAGGAAGAAAAAAAAGCAAGAAAAATAACTATTTCAAAGCACAAAACATCAACTGTTTCAGAGACTTTCTGCTGTTTCCAGTGCATTCCTAATGTGTCCTACGCAAATAAACTTACCTCATTGTTGATTGTATAAGTATAGGTTTAATAGTATAAGTAGTAGTATAACTGGGAAGTGAGCGGTCTGTGTCCACTCTCTCCGTGGGTGAAAGTCGCTCCAGCCGCCGCTCGGGTTAAACGTGGAGCTGGTATGTGAAAGGGAAAGGCCTGTTCACCTGCACAGGTATGTGACCCCCCTCCCCCTCGTCCCGGGGCGATGCTTTGATCCTCTGTCTGCGCCTCAAACACAACAAGAGCATCATGGGAAGTATTCTCAGACAGGCACTGGAATAAAGTCCTCATTGTGACTGTGTGAGGCGAGGAGCTGGGGCTGGACCTCCGGGTCTGTGGGAGGGAAGAGCGCATACGAACAAGGTCCATCTATAGACTGTGTATACACAGACAAAGCTAACACGCTAGCTCTATGAAGCCCAATAGGGAAGCACAGGGCTTCTGGGACTCTGAGGAGCACAGGGACTAGCCTCCTGCTGGGACTCTGAGGAGCACAGGGACTAGCCTCCTGCTGGGACTCTGAGGAGCACAGGGACTGGCCTCCTGCTGGGACTCTGAGGAGCACAGGGACTGGCCTCCTGCTGGGACTCTGAGGAGCACAGGGACTAGCCTCCTGCTGGGACTCTGAGGAGCACAGGGACTAGCCTCCTGCTGGGACTCTGAGGAGCACAGGGACTGGCCTCCTGCTGGGACTCTGAGGAGCACAGGGACTGGCCTCCTGCTGGGACTCTGAGGAGCACAAATCTGCAGTGGTCTGAACTTACATAGGCAGAGAGATAGACACTTTGAATGTCTTTAACTCTTTTGAAGCATTTTTGGTTAAAGTCTGTCGTTCTAACACTGTGCAGAAGTCAGGGATTTTCACTTGCAGTGTTTTGGTCTGAAGGTTGAAGCTAACATAAATGTTGGTGCCGTGGGAGATGCTTCGAGGAGGACCTTGATTCTTCTGGTTTAAAATCACTAGCTGCAAAACTGTAGCCGTGTCGGAACTCTTTATTGATCACCAAAGGAGAACTGTTGGTGTCCACAACACATCCACCCATGCAAACAAATAAATGCATGATTAGTAAATTATTTATAATAATTAGAAAACTATGCAATTTAGGTCACAGCAGCTGGTTATAAGCGTTGATTTGTCAAGAGCAGATCAGAAAACCAACTTTGATAGACATAACACGTGAGAGTAATTGGTCCACTGAATAACAGGGCAGTGTCCATAAAGGTCCCGATGGTCCCTGTCCTCAGTCCCAGCAGGTCTCCAGTGTCCAGGGGAGGTCTGGAGCTTTCAGTGCCCGTGGGAGGAGCTCTGTCCCCGGGGAGAGCATCACCTGTGCCCCCCCCCCCCCCCCCTGGTCCTCCCCCCTTCTGCAGATCACAGAGGTGAGGACAGAAGCACAGGTCTCTCCCACACTGAGCTCTGACCCAGAACACAACAGGAGCCCCCCCTGTGGACCGCTCCCACGTGGGGGAGGATCACGGAGTACCTGGAACAGCAGAACCCGGTCGCTCTCAAACATGTTCAGATGAAACGCAGTCTGAAAACCCACCATGAATAATTATAACAATAATAGATTTTATCTATAAAGCACCTTATATTTCCAGGAAACCTCAAAGTGCAAAAGATTGAAAAAACAGCATCAAAAGTACATTAAAAAACTTCAACAAATTGACTTTTTGTTGATGATGATGCTTGATTTTTGAAAAGAAATATGGTTATTTATTTGTATTGTACTTTTACGAGACTTTTTTATGTCAAACATGTATTAGCTGTGCAGGAAAACAAAGGGACCTCATCTTAAAAAAGAAAAAAGAAAAAAGTCTTAAGGCAATAATGCTACAATAATTTGCAGGTCTGAAACTTTAAAGTGGTTTGCTTAGAGCCCAGTTCAAAACCAAAGCAAAGAAAGCTGTTATCTCTGTGATCTGGCCTCATGAATCTCTGCTTTGTCCTTCCGCCTCATACGGGACCGGGGGCTACAGACCACAACATGCTGAGAGAACCCTGTGAGGCACTATTTGACCCTTCAGGCAGAGAGCTGATTGGCTCAGTGAGGGGTGTCTGAAAAAGCAGAACTAAACATGTGATGGAGGCCAAACTCCAGTGAAAGAACCAGATTTATTACGCCAGTTCAAATTCTTGTGGTTCGAAAGTTATGCACCCCAGCTTTATTTCACACACACTCGCTCACACACTCACATATATGTATATACACACACTCATACACATAGACAGACACACACATTTTTTACAAACACACGCACTGTCTCACAGACACACACACACACACACACACACACACACACACACGCACACACACACACCAACACACACACACACCCTCTCTTTGCTTTGGTGCGTCTGTTGTCTTTCTTCCCATAATCCTCAGACTGAGATGATCCCACTGCAGGTGATTATCTCAGACTCACCCCCAAAACCTGAGCCCGAACCTGGGTAAGAGGCTCAGGCCGTCTGCGTCTGGAGCTCCACACACACACACACACACACACACCAGGACCCACACACCAGGACCCACACCCACCAGGACCCAGATCCTCCAGGACCGAGGTCTGGATCAGTCTGATGGATACAGAGCCGCCATATCCTCCTCCTGAACCCTTAGTTAGACACACTTGTCATGTCGTATATAAACTAGCAACAGTAGCTTTGTACATTCTCACATGTTTGCATCTATATGTATCTGTGTTGTAAATATGATTCTACTAAACTACATTTGTTCTGACATTTGTTCTGTAAAAATAGAGGAAAATGAAAAAGTTGAAAAATGATGTTGTTTGGAAAAGATACAAGAAATGTCTTCCTTGGAAGGAGAAAAATAAAGCTTCAGTTCTTGAAATAAGACTAAAAGGCTTAATCCCTTTAGAAGATCTTGTTTTATCACAGTCAGAATGTGCTCAAAGGGTCTGTATAAAACTTTTAGAAGATTTTTTACTAGAAATCCACTGAATTTTATTAACATTTTTGGATCTAACTCAAGTCGTCTTTTCATGAATCACAAACATGTTTTTAGTACGTATACACATGTGAATAAAAGGGGGACTCAGGGACTTGGCTCCTGCTGGGACTCTGAGGAGCACATGGGACTCGGCTCCTGCTGGTCCCAGACTCAGGACTAAACCTGGGGAGGCAGCGTTTCAGATTCATGCAGCTACAATATGGAGCAGTCTCAGAGGAAATGCTCAAATCAAATTGTTTAGCTGCTGAAACACTGAAGGACTGTATCTTATGTCAATTGTGTATAATCCGTTCTATACAAATAACCTTGCTATGCCTAATCATTGTCTTACTTTTGTGTAGTTTATCTTCTCTGTTGTCTGCTTCTGGGCCTGAAGCAGCTGGAACCCAAAGCCTCTGTACTTTCTTCACGGTTGGTCCTGGGTTCTGGGCGTGTTTGACGAGACAAAACAAAATGAAAAGTTGTGATAATTCTGAGGATTTATTCTAAGCGCTTGTCTAAACCTTGCGTCTGTAAACGGCCGTAAACCGCAGAGGAAATCCCCCGGTCGCACAAACAGAACGCACACGACTACACACACTGTGAGTCTGAGGAGAAGAGTGTGTTTCAAAGAGTGTTGGTGAAAAAAACACGTCAAAAAACACAGGTTGGAGACACTTAGCTGGAGAAGTCGGTGAAGAGTTCCTACTTGATCAGTCCTCCTTATGAGTTCAGCTGTAGTTTGTTCATTGCTATTCACCCGCTGCCCCATTCATTTGTGTACAGCCTTTAATCACAACAGCAGTCGTCTCGGAGGAGTTTACAAAGTTCGCCCACAACAGTTCAGAGAATAATTTAATTTGTGTAAATGTAAATTAAATGTCCTGGATCATCACCGTCCTCCTGCATCGGCAAGGAACAACAACAACAAAAAACTTATGGTGAGAAACCCGGTGAAGCCCATTTTGAGGAAGGGTCTGAGATTGTTTTCCCATGTTCACTAAATATCAGCGGCATGAGTTTAGTCAATCTGACGTACTGCTCTGCGATGGGGAAAAACGCAAGGCGGATGTGGTGGGTACCTCCGTATCAAAGAACACGTTAGCAGCACTTGTTTATAGTCAAAGTAGAATGTCGACTCAAGGTGAAGACATGTGTTCACAAGCGTTGTCCCTCATTGTCAGTCCTGGCTCATCTTCTGGTTGTTTTCAAGTATCTTCTTCTTCCTGTTTCTGACCGGCGTGTGTCCCTGCAACGACTGCTGCTCTCTGATTGGTTGCTGCACGTGTGTGGAGCGAGGATGTCCAGTAAATCTCATCTCCTGCTTTCGCTCCCTGAATCTAGCCGTTGTACCTCTGCTGCGCCGGACAAAAGTGCAGGCCGCGACGTACATACAATTCCTTGCATGGGTGAACGTCACTCTCCACAATGCAGGACTGAGGCTGTAGATCCAGGACTGAGGCTGTAGATCCAGGACTGAGGCTGTAGATCCAGGACTGAGGCTGTAGATCCAGGACTGAGGCTGTAGATCCAGGACTGAGGCTGTAGATCCAGGACTGATACTGTAGATCCAGGACTGAGGCTGTAGATCCAGGACTGAGGCTGTAGATCCAGAACTGAGGCTGTAGATCCGGAACTGAGGCTGTAGATCCAGGACTGAAGAGGCAGTGAAGACCAGTCGAGGTGTAGAAAGAAGACACCAGATTCAGGGGTCATCCTTCGTGCTTGCATTTGGTGTCTATTTCTATTATTTCAAATTGCACCAAAGCAAAAAGCTGATGTCTCTTCTCCACTCCCGCTGATTTTCCTCGACGTTGCCTTTATGTTATTGGCTCAAAGACGAACACAAATGTGAAAAGTACAGACAGAAAAGCGTCCCCACTGCCACCTCACTTACTTTTGGCAGCGCACACTTCCAGACTCTGGGGGAGTTTCCCGACGTTGATCCGCTCTCACATCTCTGTCTGTGTTTGCTCGAGGATAAAGACCCCAAATCCCATAATGCACTGGGCTTGTGCAGCAGCAGACAGAGCAGTGAAGCAGAGAGGAGCCCAATCAGGAGCTTTGTGTCCAGGATTAGAGACGACAGCAACGTTTGATTGAGACGTATTTACTGCGAACGTCTCATTCATGTTTACAGTCTCAGAGCTTCATGGTCCCTCTCCGTGACACGCTTCACATTTCACTGTTTTGCAGATTTATGTGTGTGTAATTTTACACTGGCTTCTTTTGCGCCAACATATAACCGCTGGTATAACATGAAAGTTACTATTAAACAAAGTCGGAAGAAAAGTGTAGAAAATGTGTGGTTAGAGGTTTGAAGCGTTAAAGTGATAGTCTGGAACTCTAAATGAATTACACCTTTTAAGAATTGTATTAAATTGACCTGCTGGCCTTAAATGTTGATATAAAATAAGTCATTTTATGAAATCTTATGGGCAAGTCCCGCCTTCCCTTCTCTTAGCTATAGCTCAAAATCCACGATGCCGTCCACTTTAACCAACCGAGTCATGCCAAGGGCTGTCAATCATCAGCGCTGCTGCTCGTAGCTGCTCATGCTCAGTTGTTTGTTTTTGCGGAGCCTCTGAATCAAGCCTCCATTATGCTCTGGAACTACATGAAAACTGAACAAAGAATTCTGAACATCCGCGCTGAGTTACCTATTTATATACTGAACCTATATCCATAATCATTTATATACTAAACCTATATCCATAATCATTTATATACTGAACCTATATCCATAATCAGATCCTCTGCAGATGTGTCCTATAATGTTCAATCAACGTGAATAGCTACTTCCAGGTTTACTGCGATCGCTCTTTTTGTGCATTAAAACATTATTTTTGTCAAACGTTAACAAATTATTCTGAAAACCTCCGTGCATGTGTATTAATAATGTATATGTATAATGTATTTTCCGATAAACATTTACTGTGCTGAATAATTGTTAAGGAAACCTAGGCGTAGACCAATCAGAAAGGAAGGGGGAGGAGCTTGGGTGGTTTTTTCAAATCATGTACCTCTCTCTCTTTTTTCTGACAAACTCCAGACAATCACTTTAAAACAAAAAGCTGCTACTTTGTAGATTTGGCTTTTATCCTGTAATTTTTATAGTACAACCCCTGATATGAATTGTGATTGGCTGAGTGAGGGTGGTCCTCTCTTTTTCACTTTTCTATCTGAAAAAGCTGATAAAAAGAAACATGTGAAAACGAGTGATGAAAGAATGAGTTTAGAGAGTTTGGGGAGATCTCAAACATACAGGTCATGCGAGGCGGCCCAGGAATGTACAGGAACTGGAGGTGAAAGCACCACAAAAGACCCCAAGCTTCAAAGATGTTAATTAAATTCAATTACATTTATTTTTGTGTAGATCTAAATCACAAGAGCATCTCAGAGGACGGAAACACAGATCAGAGAATCAAACACACTGGAAATGCAATGTTGAAAAACACACAGAGGCATTGGTCCCTATTTAGCAGAGACCAATGTCCATAAACCAGAGAGAGAGACCAGAGAGAGAGACCAGAGAGAGAGACCAGAGAGAGAGACCAGAGAGAGACACCAGAGAGAGGGACCAGAGAGAGGGACCAGAGAGAGGGACCAGAGAGAGGAACCAGAGAGAGAGACCGGAGAGAGAGACCGGAGAGAGAGACCGGAGAGAGAGACCGGAGAGAGAGACCAGAGAGAGAGACCGGAGAGAGAGACCGGAGAGAGAGACCGGAGAGAGACACCAGAGAGAGGGACCAGAGAGAGGGACCAGAGAGAGGGACCAGAGAGAGAGACCGGAGAGAGAGACCGGAGAGAGAGACCGGAGAGAGAGACCGGAGAGAGAGACCGGAGAGAGACCGGAGAGGGACCGGAGAGAGAGACCGGAGAGAGAGACCGGAGAAGGAGACCGGAGAGAGACCGGAGAGAGAGACCGGAGAGAGACCCCGGAGAGAGAGACCGGAGAGAGAGACCGGAGAGAGACCCCGGAGAGAGAGACCGGAGAGAGACCCCGGAGAGAGACCCCGGAGAGAGAGACCGGAGAGAGACACCAGAGAGAGGGACCAGAGAGAGGGACCAGAGAGAGAGACCGGAGAGAGAGACCGGAGAGAGAGACCGGAAAGAGACCGGAGAGAGACCGGAGAGAGACCGGAGAGGGACCGGAGAGAGAGACCGGAGAGAGAGACCGGAGAAGGAGACCGGAGAGAGACCGGAGAGAGAGACCGGAGAGAGACACCGGAGAGAGAGACCGGAGAGAGAGACCGGAAAGAGACCGGAGAGAGACCGGAGAGAGAGAGCGGAGGGAGAGATCAGAGGGAGGGACCAGAGAGAGAGACCGGAGAGAGGGACCAGAGAGAGAGAGACCATGAGAAGGACAGGAGAGAGACCAGAGAGAAAGACCAGAGAGAGAGACTATAAGAGAGACCAGAGACAGAGACCGGAGAGACCAGAGACAGAGACCGGAGAGAGACCAGAGAGAGACCAGAGAGAGAGCAGAGAGAGAGACCATGAGAGAGACCGGAGAGAGAGACCAGAGACAGAGACCGGAGAGAGACCAGAGAGAGACCAGAGAGAGAGACCAGAGAGAGAGACCATGAGAGAGACCGGAGAGAGAGACCAGAGACAGAGACCGGAGAGAGACCAGAGAGAGACCAGAGAGAGAGACCAGAGAGAGAGACCATGAGAGAGACCGGAGAGAGAGACCAGAGACAGAGACCGGAGAGAGACCAGAGAGAGACCAGAGAGAGAGACCATGAGAGAGACCGGAGAGAGAGACCAGAGACAGAGACCGGAGAGAGACCAGAGAGAGACCAGAGAGAGAAAGTAGAAAGAAACCAGATAGAGACCAGGGAGAGAGATCAGAGAAAGACAGGACAGACAGAGCAGAGAGAAAGACCAGAGAGAGACTAGAAAGAGAGAGCAGAGAGAGAGAGCAGAGAGAGAGAGACTAGAGAGAGATCAGAGAGCGACAGACCTGAGAGAGAGAGAGATCAGTCTCCCTGGTCACTCTTTAACTGGACCACAGTTACACATAGATGTGTTGTGTTAAAATGTTAGATTTAACTAAAAGCAGTCGTTTCTCAGAGAAAAGAGTCGATGTAAAGCATGCATCAATACCATCAATGCTTGAGGGTAATATTGATAATTAAAAATAATTTCAGGGGCCATTAAAAAGAGTCTTGCGGACCGGATTTGGCCCTCGCACCTGAGTTTGCCCTGCCTGCTATCGGCTCCTAGGAATGCTGTGATGTCACATGAACACAAGGTAAGTGTGGTTCATAACAATGAGAACAGAACGAGGCGTATTCCAACCAGAGGGGACGATTCTCCGCAGACCATCCAACATATGTCGCACAGCAGGAGTCCGAGTCTTCCACATGGTCCGATATTGTTCTGCCCACGGACCCACTGCTTTACTGTCGGCCGGGCCCCTGTCCCTGGGGCCCCGCGGAGTTCTGATCAGGGGCCGTAAACTCAGGGACGACCAGCGCGACAAATGAAAGCTGTCAGTCTGTGGTTTACGGCCGCGGCGCTGAAATGGCAACCGCATTCACTCACGGTAAACACTGGATCATGTGAGACCTGGGGGAAGGTGCGATCGGTTTGAGATGTCAGT